CGTGATCCTGGAGGGTCCTGGAGGGCTTTCTGCTCTGGCGGGCAGAGACTGTGAGTCAACAAACAGCTTTCAGGAACAGCTTTCTACGTCAGTGGCTTTCACGGCCTGGTCAGCCGCACCTGGGGACTGGTTAGAAAAGCAAATCCTCGGCCAGCTGGAGTAGACAGTGGGCTGGGCCCGCCAGGTGCTTCTGGGGGTTCTATTTGTGAAACAAATCTCTCCGACGCAATACCGCACCACGGCATTAAAGGACATGCCAGCTACCTTTTTGCCTGATCTCCAGAATTTAAATAATTTGCCCGTCTGATGTTACATTTGCTGTTTGTTTGCTGTTGTGATTTTCAAAACCCTGATTGAGGGGCTGGTGCTGTGGCACAGTGGTGTAAGCCACATCCCACATCACAGCGCGGGTTGAAACCTGCTCCGCTTCTGATCCGGCTCCCTGCTAATGTGCCTGGGAAGGCAGCGGAAGATGGCCCCAGTGCTGGGGCCCTGCACCTGTTAGGTAGGAAGTCAGATATGAGCTTATGTGTGTGTAACAGGCCTAAAGGGAAGACTTCTATGTCCAGCATATGCTGCATCTCACAGCCATCCCGATAATGTTTCAGGGGCAGCCCGGCACTCCTATCCTGCCCTGCCCCCTTCTACCTGATAACCTGCCAGATGGGGTCCCCGCCCCTTCTGCCTGACAAACCTTCCACAGTCTCCCAGGTGCAGCCCAGTGTCTGCATTTCAAACACCCTGCTCGGATCCCCATTCTCCAGGGGGTCCTGCTCACCCTTCCTCTGAACCCAGGAAGCCAGCTAGGCTTCCTCCTGTCTCATACCTTCAGGGGAAAATTCAGATAGGAGCTTCTTAGTATTTACAGCCATAAAATCCTTTGTTTCAGGAAGAGACATGTGAAGACAGAGACCCATCTCCTTAAAAACCCCCGGCCTCAACCGGACGGCATGCTCAGCCCTCTGCCTCTCTGCTGAGCCGCCCGCCTGGCCTGCCCAGGTGTGTTCTCTCCACTCAGTCATGCAACCTCGCTCTCCCCAAGTCTGAGCGACTGGGCGCTCCCAGGTCCTGTCTGGAGAGGTGCCCATCCGTCCCTGCCCTAAGAAACTTTGTTACTTTACTTTCCACTACTCTGTCTCACGCCTGAATTCGCAGGCAAGAACCCTGCCTTTCTCCCATCATACACCCACTTGGGAGACCTGGGTGGAGCTCCTGGCTCTTGGCTTTGGCCCGTTGCAGCCATTTGGGGAGTGAACCAGTGGATGGAAGACCTCTCTGTTTCTCCTTCTCACCGTCATTTTGCCTTTCAAATAGATACATAAATCTTAAAAAAAAAACCTCTATTGACTTAAGGCAGTTTACACATATTCCTAATTTTTTATTTATTATTTGAAAGGCGAGCAGATGGAGGAGAGACAGAGACAGACACACAGAGGGCTCGCTCTCCACAGCTAGGGCTGGGCCAGCCCAAGGTCGGGAGCCACTCATGCAGGCCCCCTGTGCTTGGCAGGGACCTGAGCCCTCCAGCCCTCACCTGCCACCTCCCAGGGTCTGCAGTAGCAGAGGTGGGACTTGAACCCAGCACTCTGATAATCAGGGCAGCTTAACCATGTACCAAACACCTGCTCCTCCTAAGTTTTTTTTTTTTTTTTTTTTTTTATTTGTTTGCAAGTCAGAGCTACAGTGGAGGGGCGGGGGGGGAGAGAGAGGATCTTTCATCTGCTGGCTCCCCACCCCAGTGCTCTCGATAGACAGGCCCGGGCCAGGGCGAAGCTGGAAGCCAGCAGCTCCATCCAGGTGTCCCAGGTGGGGGCAGGGACACGGGCACTTGGGCCATCCCTGCTGCCTGCCAGGGCCAGCGTTAGCAGGGCGCTGGAACTGGGAGAGCCGGGTCCCAGCCCTGGGATGTGGGACGCAGGCGTCCCAGCCTCTAGGCAGATACTTGCTGCCGTTTCCGCTTTTCGGGAGCCATTGGTACGGTGAAACGCAAGTTCTTAAGAATGTTCTTTGCCGGCGCCGTGGCTCACTAGGCTAATCCTCCGCCTTGCGGCACCGGCACACCGGGTTCTAGTCCCGGTCGGGGCGCCGGATTCTGTCCCAGTTGCCCCTCTTCCAGGCCAGCTCTCTGCTGTGGCCAGGGAGTGCAGTGGAGGATGGTCCAAGTGCTTGGGCCCTGCACCCCATGGGAGACCAGGAGAAGCACCTGGCTCCTGCCTTCGGATCAGCGCGGTGCGCCGGTCGCAGCGTGCCAGCCGCGACAGCCATTGGAGGGTGAACCAACGGCAAAGGAAGACGTTTCTCTCTGTCTCTCTCTCTCTCTCACTGTCCACTCTGCCTGTCAAAAAAAAAAAAAAAAAAAAAAGGCAACAGGCTCCTTGGTATAGACTTCCCACTAGAAGAAAGACAAATGTCATTAAAGCTTTAATTCAATGTATGCTGCAGATACAGCAATGGTCGGGATGTCAGAACTGTAGAGCAGATCTCAGCGAACCTTCAACAAGCACAATAGAGACGTTGAGGAATTACAGAAAGAACCGCAAAGGGGATACATTTAAAAAGGGCCTGCTTTGACCTTGGGGCGTCTGGTGAAGATTAGATTAGGAAGGCACTGTTCTAGCCGGAGTAGCCAGTTTCTGCACAGCCCAGCCGCACTCCAGGCCTTGGCGTGTGTGATCAGCCCGTTATCTGCACCTGTCTGTGACTGTAACCCTGCACCTGTCTGTGACTGTAACCCAGGCTTCTGAACATCAAAGAATTGTGATGAGAAAAAATGGACAACGGACTTGTTATAGTGAGAAAAAACATTATGTGACTTAGGATATAAACACAGCCTGGGGCTCGGGAGCCAGAGGCGTGCCCTCAGCCTTGCTGTGAGCGTCTCTCATTTCTCCGAGCGCCAACACCTTGCACACCTTGGGGCCCCCCGACTGGCGGGAGCTGGACTCCGGCAATAGCCGAGCTCAGTTTTCCCACTGGCTGGGGTGGGTTTCATTTCTACTTCCTGGGCGGGCGCCACTGTGCTACGGAGAGCTGGGAAGTGTGACGGCTGTGCCGGGCGAGTGCACAGAACAGCGCCGCTCACTGATCAAATGTGCCGGTCCTTGGTCCTTCACTGCCGGCAGCGAAGAGCCGGCGCACGCCCCGAGGAACTCCCCACCCCGAAGCCCAGAGCAACAGGGTTTATAAAGGCAAAAACCACAAAAACAGGAGGGAGGGGGATACACGGTTACTAGGGTCACGCTGACCTAAAGCCTATGCAAAACTAGTATCAATCATAATCTTAACAACACCATTTATAATCTTGACATTAATCCAGGTATCGGCCTAAATCATATGTGGGTCATAGACAAATTACAATCGTTTCATTAACCCACGTACAGCCTATCTGTTATTTATTTATTTATTTTTTGTTTTGTTTTGTTTTTGTTTTTGACAGGCAGAGTGGACAGTGAGAGAGAGAGACAGAGAGAAAGGTCTTCCTTTGCCGTTGGTTCACCCTCCAATGGCCGCCGCGGCCAGCTCGCTGCGGCCGGCGCACCGCGCTGATCCTATGGCAGGAGCCAGGAGCTTAACCTGGTCTCCCATGGGGTGCAGGGCCCAAGCACCTGGGCCATCCTCCACTGCACTGCACTCCCTGGCCACAGCAGAGAGCTGGCCTGGAAGAGGGGCAACTGGGACAGAATCCGGCGCCCCTACCAGGACTAGAACCCGGTGTGCCAGCACCACAAGGCGGAGGATTAGCCTAGTGAGCCACGGCGCCGGCTTATTTATTTATTTTTAATGATTTATTTATTTGAAAGGCAGAGTTACAGAGAGGCAGGGGGAGAGAGAGAGAAAGAGAAAGAGAGAGAGATCTTCCATCTGATGGCTGCAATAGCCAGGACTGTGTCAGGCTGCAGCCAGGAGCCAGGAGCTTCTTCCAGGTCTCCCATGAGGGTGCAGGGGCCCAAGCACTTGGGCCATCTTCCTCTTCTTTCCCAGGCCACAGCAGAGAGCTGGATCGGAAGTGCATCAGCCGGGACTGGAACTGGCGCCCACCTGGGATGCCGGCACTGCAGGCGGCGGCTTTCCCCCCTACACCACACACCGGCCCCCGCCTGTCTGCTTTTAAGCTTGAGCGAGCATGCTAGGGGGTTTCTGCGCTCGGCCAAGTGCGATGCGGTGACTGCTATTGTCCGAGCGTGTTAGGTCGTAGTTCTACAGCACAGTCTGGGGGCGGGGGGGGGGGGGGGGGCGGCTTCTTTCTCAAGGTGGAGCTCAGGCGCTCCAGAATGGAGTCCCCGCTGTGCGGGTGTTGGTTCTGGCCTGCGGTGCCCGGCAGGGATCAGGGGCCGGCACAGAGCAGTTCCCTCTTCATTCGTCCTGCGCCTCTCGGCCTTCTGCTGCTTCTTCCCACTCCGCGCTGGCCGCCCGCGCCCAGGTGTCCCCCACCACCCCTCCCGCCTCGTCGCCCCTGAGCAGGAGGGGAGCTGGGCACGCCGCTCTCGGCCCCAGGGTGCACCTGCCACACTCCGGGACCCTGGGCACCGAGCCGGCTGCCCGCTGCTTGCTCTGTGCTTTGCAGTAAAAGTCGGCTTCCGGGGAACCCCGTGCTGGTTTTGGGGTGCAGGAACACGGCCCTCGCCTGGACCGCCTGGATCTGCGCCCCTGTCTGCTGCCGCTGCTAACGTGGGGTGAACAGTTAATGGAAATTCACTAAACTCGACGCTGCTCGTGTGCAGTTAGTTGTGTGCGTGTTGCTATATTTCAGTAACGTTTTAAAGTATGCCACAGCTATATTTGTGGTACTGCTTAACGGCGGGAGACGTGGAAACGACTGAGGACGCCCAGCTCCGCGGGTCCTGTCCAGGAGCCCACTCCCCGTGTCCTGCGGCCAGGATTCGCCCCATGCTGAACTGGGGCGAGGCCGGCTCCCTCCGGGTTCGGGCTCCTGCACTGCGTCCTCCGGTCCTCCAGGGGGCGCTCCCGCCCCCACGCGCCCCTCGCGGGCCACGCCCCCGGCCGCCGAGTCACGTGATCGCGGCATCAGCCGACTCCGCGCGCAGCGGAAGCCGAGGCTGCGGCGTCCCGGGCTCCCGGCGCGATGGTGAGCGCCTGCGGTGGAGCGAGGCAGCGGGTGCAGGGGCGGCGCCGTTGGGGCGCTGGTGGCTCCCGGAACGAGGAGCGAGGGCGGGGCTTCGGCTCTTCGGCAGGCGCGGTGGGGCGGAGCGTCAGACCCGCTGCCCCGCACGGCGGGGTCGCAGACCCGAGGCCGCCCGCTCCGGGTGCTCCCGTCGCCGGCCGGTGCGGAGCGGGTCTCCTGCGGGGTTGCCTGGCTCGGGAGCGTGCCCAGAGGTGCCCGCTTCCCCAGCCCGCGCGGTGGACAGGAGCTTGCGACTTGCCACCTCCTGCGTGCTCGCTCAGCTGACACCTGTCGGATGCGCGGTCTGAGCCCCGCGCCGCGCCGGGGGCGGGTGGGCGGTGAGGCGGCAGCGCGGTGCCCGGGGTGGGCTCCCGGTGCCGGTGCTGCCGCCCGCGTCCTGCTGACCCACACCCCGGGAGGCTGCAGTGGTGGCCCGAAGAGTTGGGTGCCCGCCACTCACGTGGGACACCTGGGTCGTGTTCCCCGCTCCAGCTCCGCCCTGGCCGTCGCAGGCATTCGGGGAGGGAACTAGGGGATAAGAACTTTCTCTCTCAAGTAGATTAAAACAAAAATTTAAAGATTTTTATGTACTTATTTGAAAGGCAGAGTTGGAGAGGTAGAGGCAGAGAGAGAGAGAGAGAGAGGTCTTCCATCCGTTGGTTCACCCCAGATGGCCACAGTGGCTGGGGCTGGGCCAGGCTGAAGCCAGGAGCCAGGAGCCTCTTCCAGGTCTCCCACGTGGGTGCAGGGACCACGCACTTGGGCCATCCCTCCACTGCTTTCCCAGGTGCATTAGCAGGAGCTGGGTGGAAAGTGGAGCAGCCGGGACTCGAACCTCCGTATGGGAGGCCGCACCGCAGCACCGGTCCCTCAAACAAATTTTAAGCAGAGAGATAGTGGACGTCTCCACCAGTGCCCCAGGTTGCTCGTGTGGGGGCTGGTTAGAAGGCGTGGTAGGCCGGCGCCGCAGCTCACTAAGCTAATCCTCCGCCTTGTGGCGCCAGCACACCGGGTTGTAGTCCCGGTCGGGGCACCGGATTCTGTCCCGGTTGCCCCTCTTCCAGGCCAGCTCTCTGCTGTGGCCAGGGAGTGCAGTGGAGGATGGCCCAAGTGCTTGGGCCCTGCACCCCATGGGAGACCAGGAGAAGCACCTGGCTCCTGGCTTCGGATCAGCATTGGAGGGTGAACCAACAGCAAAAGGAAGACCTTTCTCTCTGTCTCTCTCTGTCACTGTCCACTCTGCCTGTCAAAAAAAAAAAAAAAAAAAAAAGAAGGCGTGGTCAGGGGGCCCCCTCTGAAGAGGAGAGGGAGCCACACTCTGGCGTGGGCCAGGGCAGCTGACCAGGATGCTGCCAGGGTGGGGAGGAGCCGGGACAGGTCAGGTCACCCGTGGCCCGAGGCCAGGGACTTGGTCTCGGTGCTGGCGGCCCCTGGCACGGAGCCTGGGAGATGCCCCTGGAGAGGCACCGGGTTGACGCCTGTTACCGGACAGTGCAGACGGCGGAGCAGTTGGCCATGGGGTGGTGGGGAGTGTCCCCTCTACCCCCCTGCCCTGGGGCCGGGCTCCTGCCGAGCGGCAGCGCTGAGTGCCCCCCCTGCCTTACAGAGGTTCCGGTTCTGCGGCGACCTGGACTGTCCCGACTGGGTCCTGGCGGAGATCAGCACGCTGGCCAAGATCGTTGAGTGCTCGGGGCCTGCGGGGGTGGGGTGGGGCGGGGCTTGTGTGCCCGGCCTGTGCCCAGTGCCGGGGTGGGGGGCTCGTGTGCCAGCCTGTGCCCTGTGCCGGGGGGGGGGCTCGTGTGCCCGGCCTGTGCCCCTGTGCCGGGGGGGGGCTCGTGTGCCGGCCTGTGCCCCTGTGCCGGGGGGGGGCTCGTGTGCCGGCCTGTGCCTGGTGCCGGGGGGGGGGGGCTCATGTGCCGGCCTGTGCCCAGTGCCGGGGGGGGCTCGTGTGCCGGCCTGTGCCCGGTGCCAGGGGGGCGCCTGTGCCCGGCCTGTGCCCCTGTGCCGGGGGGGGGCTCGTGTGCCGGCCTGTGCCCCTGTGCCGGGGGGGGCTCGTGTGCCGGCCTGTGCCTGGTGCCGGGGGGGGGGCTCATGTGCCGGCCTGTGCCCAGTGCCGGGGGGGGGCTCGTGTGCCGGCCTGTGCCCCTGTGCCGGGGGGGGGCTCGTGTGCCGGCCTGTGCCCCTGTGCCGGGGGGGGGGCTCGTGTGCCCGGCCTGTGCCCGGCTGACCGAGGCCTCCCCCCCAGTCCTCCGTGAAGCTGCGGCTGCTGTGTGGCCAGGTGCTGAAGGAGCTCCTGGGGCAGGAGATGGACGTGAGTGCAGGTCCCGCCCCGGCCTCGTCCTTGGTGGGGGGGGCTCGCACCTGACCTGAGGGCCTCCTTTCCCCCCCCAGTATGAGAAGATCCTGAGGCTCACTGCCGACGCCAGGTTTGGTGAGTGCTCCCCCGGGGAGCGGCCTGGTGCCCGCCCAGAGGCCCCCTCCTCCCAGCAGCCCTCCCTGACTCAGCCGCCTTATGGAGGAAGAGGAAGGCGGTGACCAGCGCTTCCTCCCAAGCCCTACAGCACAGGGAGGAGGCGGGGCCCTGGGGCCACAGGGAGGAGGTGGGGCTGCGTGGCGTGACCCCCCCCGCCGCCCCCCAGAGTCAGGCGACGTGAAGGCCACGGTCGCCGTGCTGAGCTTCATCCTCTCCAGCGCCGCCAAGCACAGCGTGGACAGCGAGTCCTTGTCCAGTGAGCTGCAGCAGCTCGGGCTGCCCAAAGGTGCGGGGGCTGGGCGGGCAGGCGGGGGTGGCCAGGCCGAGGGTGCCAGAGGCGCCGGCGCTCAGCGGACCCCCTGTGTCCCCCAGAGCACGCCGCCACCCTGTGCCGGGGCTACGAGGAGAAGCAGAGCCCCCTGCAGGAGCACCTGCGGGCCTGCAGCCTGCGCGGTGAGTGTGGGGTGCCGGGTGGGGTCGGGCCCCGCCATCCCCAGAGGGGTCCGCTGTGGGTTCCTGGGCTCCCAGACGCCCGCCCCCGGAGCCCGGGCAGGGTACGGGCCAGGCCTGGGGGCGCCGCGTGCTCCTGAGCCCCCCTTGCCTGCCCTGCAGTGAACAGGCTGGTGGGCGTGGGCTGGAGGGTGGACTACACCCTGAGCTCCAGCCTGCTGCGCTCCGTGGAAGAGCCCGTGGTGCACCTGCGGCTGGAGGTGGTGGCCGCCCCGGGCGCCGCGGCCAAGCCCGTGGCCGTGACCCTCTCCGCGGCCAAGTTTCAGGTCCTCCTGGCAGGTGAGGAGCGGCTGCCCCCGGAGGGCGGGGTCCTCCCCAGGCCCCCCCCCCCCCCCCCCGGGCTGCCAGCCTCTCACCCCCCCTTCCTCCCGCAGAGCTGAAACAGGCCCAGAGGCTGATGAGCAGCCTGGGCTGAGGAGGCCGCCCCGGCCCGCCCTGCCACGCCAGCGGGCCTTGCTCTGTCGCCGCTGGATGCCGGCCTGGGCAGCGTGTGGCTCCCTGGGCCGGGGGCCCCTGGCGGGGGCCTTGCGGAGAGAGGAAGACCCTGCTCGCCCCGCCATCCTCCTCAGGACAGGCACGGGGCCCGTGCTGGCGCGGTCACCGTCCGGAGGAGCCGTGTCAGGCACCAGGCGCCGGCTGCCCGCTGGGAGGGCCCTCGCCAGACCCGGGACTGTGAGAAATAAACGGCCGCACTTCAGCCCCCCGCTGTGTTTTGTCGCACTGCGCCCAGTGACTGCGTCTCTGTGCTCGGGTAGCCCGCAGGAGGGCAGCAGAGAACAGGGAGGAACAGCTGGACAGGCCTCTGGTCCAGCAGTGCGGCCGTGGGTTAGGGCGCGTCCTAGAGCAGAGCGCCGGTCCCAGTCCCCGCTGCGGCCCGGGAAGGCGGCCGAGGGTGGTCCAAGCGCTTGGGCCCTGCTCCCACGTGGGAGACCCGGATGGAGCTCCTGGCTCCTGGCCATTGGGGCCATTTGGGGAGTGAACCAGCAGATGGAAGATCCATATTCATTCGTTCTTTCTCTCCCTCCCCCGCCCTTCCCCTCCCCCTTCTCTGTGTGACTCTGCCTTTCAAATTATTTTAAAAAGTTGGAGACGAGAGCTTCCATCTGCTGGTTCAGTCCCTAGATGCCTGCTGGGCCAGGCTGAAGCCAGGAGCCAGGAGCTTCTTCCGGGTCTCCCACGTGGGTGCAGGGGCCCAGGGATTTGGGCCGTCCTCCGCTGCTTTCCCAGGCGCATTAGCAGGGCACCGGATCGGAAGTGGAGCAGCCGGGGCAGGAACTGGTGCCCATGTGGGATGCTGGCGCCGCTTACCTCACTGGTCATGATGCCGACCCGGGGTGGGGGTGAGGGTGTGTGTGTGTGTGTGATCTTTCCACAGCTGAATGCATTTCTCAAAAACTCACATTCTAAAAAGGGTGAATGTTACTGCATGCAAATTAATGTAATGAACAGAAGATCGCCAGGCAGCGTTCTGGGTGGTCACAGCCAGGAAGGCGTCCCACCGCGGCCGCCCCAGCCTCGTCCTTCGAGCCTCGCCGAGGTGGGGCAGGCAGGTGCTGGGCGCCTCCCGCGGCCCAGTGCGCAGCAGCACGAGGGCTCCCTGGCGAGGCCTGCGCTCCCAGACCCCTGCCCCAACCCCGCAGCTTCAGAGGGGCGGCTTCCTGGAGATGCCGCAAGAGGGGCGAGGGCCGCTGTGGGTCGGAAATGATTCGGCACGCGAGAGGGCGCTTCAGGAAGCTCGTGGGAACTGTGGGCTGGGGGGAGAAACAGGACTTAAAGATGTTTTGTACCAAAATAGGCACCGTTAATCCCGACCGATAATCCTCCACCGGAGCCTGCCTGGAGCGCGGAGCCGGGCGGGATCTCGGGGGCGCCCGCGGCGTGGTTTCCGGGTGTTGGGGGTATTCGCGTTGTTAGGTGAGACCGGTGGCTTCGGCGACGCCGGCTTTCAGAGGTGGATGTGCGGCTGTGGCGTGACGTGTGTCCTTGTCTTACCCGGAAATGCTTCCGCCAAAACATGGAGTAAACAGAGGAAGGGGAAGTAGAAGTGGTGCCCAGCTGGGCCGGGCCGCTTTGAATAAGATGCAAACTGCACGCGGGCCCCGGGGGCCAGGCCTGCACCACCACGGCTGCGACGACGGGCCTGTGTCCTGCCCCCGGGCCTTTGCGCTGGGGCTGCGCCTGCGGCCCCCCAGCCTCGTGCGGCCGGGCCAGACCCGCCCTCCCCGCCTGAACCCTGCCCCGTGGGCTCTGTTCCCACGCTCTGGCTTTTTGCCGCAGGCGCGGTGAGGTGCACGCTCGCCCGAGCTGTTGACCGTGCTGGGGCCACTCCGGGTCCCCAGGGTCGGCGCGGACCGCGCACCCGTGCGTGCCCTGCGCAGCTGCAGGCACCTGGGCACCCGCTCGTCGCTGCTGTTTCCTGCGGGCGGGGCCGACCCTACCCGGGACCAGCCGGGTGACTTCCCTCAACCGCAGTCGGCTGAGCCCGGGGCTCGGACTCGACCCCAGACCCCGCCGCGCCGGCCAGCGGGCAGCCTGTCGCCTCCCCGCCAGGTGAGCGCCCCCAGCCCAGGCACCCGCGCCGGGGACTACACTTCCCAGCAGGCGCCGCGGCGGCGAGCACAGCCCACGCCCCCCGCCTCGAGCCCACCTAGGCCTCCGGCACGGGTCCCGCCCCGGGAGCCGGAGCGGGACGGACGTGCGCGCGTGCGCCACGCAGCCGAGACCCGGCGGGGCTGGGGGGTCCTGGGGAGCAGGCGGGCCGGGTTACGGAGGACAAGGCCGCGGCCACCGAGCGTCGCCCGGCCGCAAAGCGAGGAGTCCCGAGGGAGGCCGCCCCCGACCCGGAGAGAGCCTGCGGCGGAGCCGGGAGGGCGAAGGCCGGGACGGGAGTGCATCCCTCGGACTGGCCGGTTCCCGGGGCTCGCGGCTGCGGGCGGCGCGGAGGCCGGGGAGCGAGCGGGGCTTGCAGACGGCGAGGCCCGTTCGGACCGCGGAGTGCAGGGCTCCGCCGGCACCCAAGGCGGGGAAGGGCGGCTGCCGGCGAGGACAGGGGACCCGAGATGGCCAGCGCAGCCCTGGACTTGGAGCGCCGTGGGGCAGGGCCTGTGGCTGCACTGACGGGCCGCGTCCCCCTCCGACCCTCGGAGTTCTCCGCGTAGGGCGCGCCCGGCCCGACCTGCTGTCCTGCCCGCACAGGATGCCCGAGGGCCCCGAGCTGCACCTGGCCAGTCGCTTCGTGAACGAGGCGTGCGGGGCGCTGGTGTTCGGCGGGCGCGTGGAGAAGTCTGCGGTCAGCCAAAACCCCGAGGTGCCCTTCGAGAGCAGCGCCTACCGCATCTCGGCCCTGGCCCGCGGCAAGGAGCTGCGCCTCTGGCTCCGACCCCTGCCCGGGGCCAGGCCCTGCCAGGAACCACTGGCCCTGGTCTTCCGCTTCGGCATGACCGGCTCGTTCCAGCTGGCGCCCGGCGATGCGCTGCCGCGCCACGCCCACCTGCGCTTCTACACCGCCGGCCCCGGCCCCCGGCTCGCCCTGTGCTTCGTGGACGTCCGCCGCTTCGGCCACTGGGAGCTGGGCGGCGAGTGGCAGCCGGGCCGCGGGCCGTGCGTCCTGCGGCAGTACGAGCAGTTCAGGTGAGGTCAGCCTCCCGCGCGGTGAGCACAGCCCTGGCCTCCAGCGCCTTGGGAGCAGCCGCGGGTGGGGCCCAGGGCGGGGGTGTAGAAACCCCGGACTGACGGGGCAGGGAGGGCGGCTGCACCGGTGAGCTGTGCACCTTCCAACCTAATAGCTGAGAAAAGTAACTTTGTCAAGAGGGAGTTTGGTCCGCTCAGCTCTGGACGTGCAGGTCCACACCCCATGGTTTGGCGTCTGCCGAGGGCTGGGCTGGTGGGGGACCCTGGGCGAGCCAGGAAGCAGGGCCCCGCCTCCCAGGAGGCCGAGAAAGGTGGAACCAGGAGGGGGCTGAGCAGGAGCCATGGCAGGAGGCTGGGGAGGGGCCCCGATAGCGCTGTCTCAGTCCTTTTTTTTAGAAAAAATATTTATTTGAAAGAGCTACATAGAGAGAGGAGAGGCAGAGAGAGAGGTCTTCCACCCGATGGTTCACTCCCCAATTGGCCACAACGGCTGGAACTGCACCGATCTGAAGCCAGGAGCTTCTGGGTCTCCCATGCGGGTGCAGGGACCCAATGACTTGGGCCACCTTCTTATGGCTTTCCCAGACCACAGCAGAGAGCTGGACCAGAAGTGGAGCACCTGGGTCTCGAACCTATGCCCATATGGGATGCGGGCACTGCAGGCCAGGGTGTTAACCTGCTCCACAGCGCCGCCCCCCCACCTTTAAAATATATTTATTTAAATATATTTATTTGAAAGAGTTACAGAGAGGAGAGGCAGAGAGCGAGCGTGTGTCGGAGTTTGGTTGTGTGGTTTCCCACGTTCTGCCTGCCCACTGGACTGTGTCCTGTGGTCTCTGTGACTGTCCCCGGCCTGCAGGGGCGCACAGCCCCACCTGGCACGTGGTGCAGGTCCACTCCAGTGGTGTGGTGTCAGCCACTGCACCAACTCTAACGAGCCGGGTGTGGCCCCTGCTCCCCTGGTAAGGGCTGGGGACGGGGTGAAGGAGGACAGCTACTTGGGAGGGGACATTGGTGCTGAGGCCTGTCTGTCGAGAGGAGCCAGCGCCACACAGCTGTGGAGAAAGCACAGGTGCCGGGACTCCCCCTGCGCACCTGCTGCCCAGAGCCACGCCGCCTGCAGGGCCTGCGGTTGGAGCCCTGATGAGGTCAGATCCACACCTGCTCCGAGACGCGGCGCCCTGGCCGGGCTTCTTGCTCGTGAACACCTGGCCACAGAGACTCCTGTGTGCCCGGAACACGTCGTTTTTCCACCGTTTCACAAGGAATTTCACTTCCCGGTTGTTCCCATCGACAGACAGGGAAACGGGCCTCAGCTGCCCAGACTACGCTGGCAGGTCCTCCCGCCCCCGCCCTGGCCGGGGCAGGGATGCTCAGGCGCCCAGGCCGTGTCCCTGCAGGGAGAACGTGCTGCGGAACCTGGCGGACAAGACCTTCGACCGGCCCATCTGCGAGGCCCTGCTGGACCAGAGGTTCTTCAACGGCATCGGCAACTACCTGCGGGCAGAGATCCTGTTCCGGTGAGCAGGCGTGAGGGCCAGGGTGGGCCCCGCGTGCCGCACGCCCCCAGCTTAGCATGGCTCTCCGCCTGCCCCCCTGCAGGCTGAGGATCCCGCCCTTCGAGAGGGCCCGCACGGTTCTGCAGGCCCTGCAGCAGCGCAGGCTGGTGAGCGGGGGAGGGGGGGCTGGCGCAGCTGTGCTGGGGGGGGAGGGGCCCTGACCCATGCTGACGGCGGGCCCTTTCCTCAGAGCCCAACGCTGACCCTGAGTCAGAAGATCAGGGCCAAGCTGCAGAACCCGGACCTGCTGGAGCTGTGCCACTTGGTGCCCAAGGAGGTGGTGCGGCTGGGTGAGGACTGGGCAGGCCCCGCTGTCGCTGCACGGACCTGCTCTCCTCACGTGTCTGCAGGGCTGCGGGACCAGGATTCCTAACCCTGTCCCCGCGGCCCTGACTCGCCCCACCAGCTCTGTGGCTGAGCTGCCCCCAATCCCACAGGGGGCAAAGGCTACGGGCCGGAGCGCGGGCAGGAGGACTTCGCTGCCTTCCGGGCCTGGCTGCGGTGCTACGGAGTGCCAGGCATGAGCACCCTGCAGGACCACCTCGGGCGCACCATGTGGTTCCAGGTGGGGGCCGAGCCCCCGGGAGGCTGGAGGGGTGCTGCTGCCCCAATCTGGGCCACGTCCTGATGTGTCCCTGTTCCGTTCCAGGGGGACCCTGGGCCCCTGGCGCCCAAAGGTGAGCTGCTGCTGCCAGTGATGGGCTGAGGGCAGGGAGGGCAGGGAGGGCAGGGAGGGCCCCGCCCCGCTGCACCTGCTCACCGCAGAGGGGGAGTCGGCCGGGGGGACCCTCCAACCCCAGCACCAGTGTCCTGCAGGGGCCAAGTCGCGCAAGAGGAGATCCCGGGAGACACAGCCGGGTCCGGTGGACAGGATGGAGGTGTGTGTGCCTGCTCCTGCCCAGTGCGGGTGGGGGCAAAGGGGGCCCTGACCAATCTCCAGACTGCTCTGACCCTCCCCCCCACCGCTTCCACCCAGGACCCTCCCGCTCCCCCTCCCCGCAAGGCCTCTTCCAGGAAACCAAGAGCCAAAAAGGACCCTTCCAAGGCTGCGGCCCAGCGGCACCCAGGAGCCCCTGAGGAGGCCAGGAGGAGGGGCGGCAGACAGCCTCAGGTGGGTGCACTCCATCAGCCTTCTGGGGAGGGGAGGGGAGGGGAGGGGTGGGAGCGAGCCCTTCCTGTCTTTCCTCCAGGCCGCTGCCCAGCCCGGAAGCTGAAGGCTGACTCCCCACCCCTGGATCCCGAGGAGGCCCCAACCCCTTAGCAGGAGGGGGCCTTGATGCGGGGGCTGTGTGGGTCCAAGTAAGGGGCTGAGCACCCCAGCCCTGTGGCTGTCGTAGTTTTAGGGGTGCCCCGTTTTAACATTTTTAAGCCCACGTGGGAAATGCTGGATTTTAAATAAATAGATAAATCTGAACTTCTTGGCCCTCCCTGGGCTGGCCCCTGCGCACAGGACAGGTGCAGCAGGCCCCAGGCAGCCCAGGCTCCCAGCCTAGGGCTTTCCGAGCAGCCGGCACACACAGGTAACCTCGGGGCTGTCTCGGCCTCCAACGCCCGGGAGAGGCGTCCCCCCCTCCAAACGGGCGCAGGGGCTGCAGCCCTTCCGGCTCCAAGGATTTATTGCGCGAGGGGCGCCTGGCCCTTGGCTGAGGCCGGGGGCAGCGAGGACTCAGCTGGGCGGAGGCTGCAGCACGAGCAGCAGGGACCGCACTTGGAAGGGGGAGAAGGTGAGCTTCAGGCGGGCGTCCTCAAGGGGCAGGGGGCCGGCAGGGTCTCGCCGCTCCAGGAGGTCGCAGCTGCAGAAGGCGCGGGGCGGTGAGGGGCCCGCGAGAGCCGTACGGGCCGCCCCCACCCCCACCCCCGCCACTCACAGGATGGCTTCCTGCACGGGCAGCGCCGTGCGCAGCCAGCAGTCCACGTGGCTGCCGTAGGCCTCGTACAGCCTCAGGACCAGCGCGCGGCCGACCTCCGCCTGCGGACAGAGGTGGGCGGTGGGCGGTGGGCGGTGGGCGGTGCCGGAGGAGGGCCCGCCCCGCCGCGCCCGCCCCGCCTCTACCTGCTTGACCGTCTCCAGCACCACCGCGGGCGAGGACACGGAGAAGGCGCTCCAGGTGGTGGCGGGCGCGGGGCTCGGCACGGGCAGCGCCAGCAGCGGGAAGTTGAGGCCGTAGGCGGCCTGGATGACGCCAGCGTCCTGGAAGGAGCCTGGCCGAGCCAGGACAGCGTGCACGTGGGAAACGCGGCCCTTGGGGAGGGGTCTGGGGCCGCGGGGGCCCTGCCCCCACACTCACCCTTGTGCGGCATCAGCGCGTAGGTGAACTCGTGGCGCCCCATGTCGGCGGTGGCATCAGGGGACTTTGGTGCCCTCAAGCTGTGTGAGAGGTGCGCATGGGCCAGGCTGGAGCTGCCAGTTCCCAGGGCCGCGGCAGCCCCGCCCCCACCCGCCGCCCCCACTCACAGGGACAGGCTGAGGACGCTGCCTCGGACGCAGGCGCCGTACTTGCAGTCGTTGAGCAGGGCCAGCCCGAAGCCATGCTCTGAGAGGTCCAGCCAGCGGTGGGCCCACACCTGGGGGCACACCCATCCCTCCGCATACGCCCAGCTCCGGGCCGAGCCCGCCCCTAGCGCCTGCGTGCGCCCGTGGGCAAGTCCAGGCGCCCCCTGCCCCCGGCCCGCAGACCTCGAAGCGAGCCCAGTCCCAGGAGGTGTTGTGGTGCGTGGGCCGCTGCAGGTGCCCAAACTGGATCTCGTAGGTGGCCTGGGGGCTCCGCACTCGGGCAGGGAACTCCACTTTCAGGAACTTGTGGGCCTCATGCCAGTGCACCTGGGGGCGGAGTGGGGGGTAGGGGCCAGGCAGGCCCGGGGCGGCCCGCCTTACCTGTCACAGCTGGGGAGGTCGGCCCCCACCCTCCCCCTGCTACCTCTGTGTGGAAGCGGACGTAGGGGCAGCCGACGTCCAGCACCACCTCCTGGCTGAGCCGACTGCTGGGGCTGAGCTGCAGCAGGAACCAGGCGCTGCCCCGCAGGCCGCCCTCGGTGCCCACGGCCAGGGTCCCCGCCTGGCCCAGCACGGGCTTCCTGGCGGAGGGGTGGGAGGGAGGCATGAGCTAGGGCAGTCTGTGTCCCCACCGCCCCGGCCAGGCCTGCCCAGCCCGTACCGGGTCTCCAGGTGGTAGTCCATGACATCCCACGCATCCCAGTACAAGGGGACGTCGTCAAACAGCACGAACTGGTTCCCCACGGCACCCTCGGCGATGGCTTCCCTGGCAGGCGGAGGGAAGGGTCCTTATGACCGGGCCACCTCACTCTCCCCCTACTCGGGCAGGGAGTCCTGGCCCAGCCTGCCCTGCGCCACGAGTGGGTCCCACTCCAGGTCCACTGGTGGGCGCCGGGGGCCAGGCACTGGGAAAGGAGTGAAGGGCAGGCACCTGCCAGAGGCCACCAGCACTAGGGACGTCAGGCGGCCAGTTGGGTCCAGCCTCACCCGGATGATGCCATTGTCCAAAGTCACTGAACCGTCAGCCTGGGGTGGGAGAGGCATCGGGGCAGAATCTGTAGGAGGGCTTCCTGGTCGCCCCCCACCCCCGGCCTCAGGCTGGGGAGCAGACCCAGCAGCCCGCCCCCACCCCGCCCTGCCCCGCCAGACTCACCTCCTGCACCACGCACACGGGCTGCAGGGGCTGCAGTGGGGTGGGGGTGGGTGCAGGAGCGTAGCCCATGCTGGGCACCGTCACCAGGGCTGGGGACGAGGTCCAGGCATCAGTGTGGCCTCCCAGACCTTCTGGGCACTGGGAGGGGCTGGGGCAGGCCCTCCCCGACCCTCCCCCGTACCTAGGCTGTGGGCCCCGCCGGGCCTGGGCAAGGCCAGCACCTCAGTGCGCTTCCAAGGCAGCGTGTTCACGATGAGGAGGCCCTCCGGGCCCGGCTCCCCCGCACACAGGGCTGCGGCCGCGGCACTGAGCAGCGCGTTGCCGTGGGAACGGATGTCTGAGGACAGACCAGGCGCTCACGGGTGGGCAGGGCTGGCCCGCGCGGCCGCCAGGGGCGCAGCAGGCTCACCTGCGTAGTGGCTCAGGGCTTCCTCTGCCACCAGCTGGATGCAGCTTCCCGTCACCACGTCGTGGAACTGGTTCAGCAGCAGGCGCCTGCGGGGCAAAGGCAGGGCCGGGCGGGTGGGGCGCGCCGCGGGCCCCGGCGGGGGGGGGGGGGGGGGGGCAGCGGGCCAGGGGCCGGGAGGGTGAGGCGCGCCGTGGGCCCGGCCGGGGGGCAGCGGGCCGGGGGGCAGCGGGCCAGGGGCCGGGCGGGTGGGGCGCGCCGCGGGCCCGGCCGGGGGGCAGCGGGCCAGGGCGGGACCAACCTCCAGAGGTGCTGCAGCTGGGCCGCGGGGTAGAGGAACTGGGCGCCACGCGCCAGGGCCAGGCTGCAGAGCACCTCGACGTCGTGCAGCAGGCGCTCGCACTCCCGGTTGCCCTTCTTGATCTGCGCCCAGGCAGGGTGGGGGAGGGTCTGGTCTCAGCCCCCCCCCCCCCCCGCCGGGGCCGCGCCCTGCCCTCTGCGGACCTGCGCCTGCGTGGTGTAGGTGCCGTTGTGCAGCTCCAGGAAGAGCTCCCCCACCCACGTGCACAGCTGCTCCGAGTCGCGCTCCAGCGCCGCGAACAGCTGCTCCGGGGACGACAGCTGCACCCTGAGGGGACCACGGCGTGGGGCTCCCAGCCCACGCGGCACGGCTCCCTGCCCACGCGGCACAGGCTCCCAGCCCACGCGGCACGGCTCCCTGCCCAAGCGGCACGGCTCCCAGCCCACGCGGCACGGCTCCCTGCCCACGCGGCACAGGCTCCCTGCCCACGCGGCACGGCTCCCTGCCCACGCGGCACAGGCTCCGGGTGCCTTGGAGAGCTGCTGGCTGCTGGGCTGGAGCCCCCCGCCCCCCCCCGCCCGCCCACGCCCCAAGTGACGTCTCCAGGGGCAGGCTGGGCCCGAGGCAGGGGCAGAAAGGCAGGCAGCGGGCAAGGCTGGGGCCGCTGGAGGGTGCAGGCCTGACCTGGGCAGCCCGTCGGTATCGGCCAGGCGCTTCAAGCGGTCCAGCATGGTCTGGGTGGGGCCCCCACCCCCGTCCCCGAAGCCGAAGAGGAAGGCGCTGTGGTTGGCTCGCCCCTTGTCCCGGTTATTGGTCACGGTCTTCAGCAGCTGGACAGGCAGGAGCGGGTCAGCGGGGGTCAGCCTGGGACTGGCCCCACCGGGCCCTCGGCGCCCCCTTACCTCCTCCACGGTGCCTTGCATCCCGTACGAGTCGCCGGGTGGGAAGTGGACCAGCACGCGGGAGCCGTCCAGGCCCTCCCAGAAAAAGGTGTGGTGCTGTGGGAGGCAGAGCGGGCCCTCCATACCCGTCCCGCCCTGGCTGCTGCGCACACTCGTGGGGTCTGGGGGCCTTTCCAGGGCCCCTGGGGGAGCCTGGGGAGAGGCGGTGGGCCAGGCCCTGGCTGCTGCGCACACTCGTGGGGTCTGGGGGCCTTTCCAGGGCCCCCGACGGAGCCTGGGGGAGCCTGGGGAGAGGCGGTGGGCCAGGCCCTGGCTGCTGGGGCTGCTCACCGGAAAGGCGTTCACCAAGTTCCAGCTCAGTTTCTGGGTCAGGAAGCGCTCGATGCCACAACCGCGCATGATCTGGGGGAGCTGCGCTGAGTAGCCGAAGGTGTCGGGCAGCCAGAACTGTGGGACAGGGGCTCAGGAGCGTGGGGCCCGGGGCCCAGGGCCCCCATCTCCGGCCTGTGCTGGCCCGGCCCCCAGCCTACCTCGGAGCAGGGCTTCCCGAACTCCTGCAGGAAGAAGTTCTGGCCCTGCAGGAACTGCCTCACCATGGCCTCTCCGCTGGGCAGGTTCCCGTCCTGGGGTGAGCAAGGGGCAGGCACTGGGCTGGCACCAGCCCTGGGGGCACCCACCTTGCTCGGCCGACTGTGCCCCTGCCTGAGGAGGACGCCTGGGACCACGCCCCACCTCCCTGTGGAAGTCACCAGCAGAGCCACGGGGCGGGCGGGAAGCCCTTGACCCACAGCCAGGTGTGGGTGTGCGCACTCACCATCTCCACCCACGTGCCCCCCACGGGCACAAACTGCCCGCGGCAGGCCAGCTCCTGCAGCCGGGCGTGCAGGCCGGGGTAGCAGCTCTTCACCCACTCCAGCTGCTGCGCCTGTGGGCAGCAGGGCGGGAGCTGGGCGGGAGGAACCTGGCCCCGGGGCCGTGGAGCCCGGCGGAGGTGGAGATGAGAACAGCCCCGCCCCGCAGCGGTCCCTCTGACCTGGGAGCAGGCAAAGACGAAGTCCGGGTTCTGCTCCATGAGCCGCACCGCCGTCACCCAGCTCCGGGCGCATTTCCGCACAGTCTCCTTGAAGGGCCAGAGCCAGGCTGGGAGGGAGGCGGAGG